CGGATCTATATAATATACCAGTTATATATCATTAGATTAACCTCAGACCCCGGATCTATATAATATACCAGTTAAATATCATAAACCCCAGACCCGGATCTATATAATATACCAGTTAAATATCATTAGATAAACCCCAGACCCCGGATCTATATAATATACCAGTTATATATCATAAACCCCAGACCCCGGATCTATATAATATACCAGTTATATATCACTAGATAAACCCCAGACCCGGATCTATATAATATACCAGTTATATATCATAAACCCCAGACCCGGATCTATATAATATACCAGTTATATATCACTAGATAAACCCCAGACCCGGATCTATATAATATACCAGTTATATATCATTAGATTAACCTCAGACCCGTTTCTATATACTATATCATTTAAATATGATTTACCCCAGACCCGGATCTATATAATATACCAGTTATATATCATTAGATAAACCTCAGACCCGGATCTATATAATATACCAGTTATATATCACTAGATAAACCTCAGACCCCGGATCTATATAATATACCAGTTATATATCATTAGATTAACCTCAGACCCGGATCTATATAATATACCAGTTATATATCACTAGATAAACCTCAGACCCGGATCTATATAATATACCAGTTATATATCACTAGATAAACCTCAGACCCCGGATCTATATAATATACCAGTTATATATCATAAACCCCAGACCCCGGATCTATATAATATACCAGTTATATATCATTAGATTAACCTCAGACCCGGATCTATATAATATACCAGTTATATATCATTAGATTAACCTCAGACCCGGATCTATATAATATACCAGTTATATATCATAAACCTCAGATCCGGATCTATATAATATACCAGTTATATATCATTAGATTAACCTCAGACCCGGATCTATATAATATACCAGTTATATATCATAAACCCCAGACCCCGGATCTATATAATATACCAGTTATATATCATTATATACATTTTAAACCGGTATGGTGTCATTTATAAATTTCAATAATGTTGTTCCATTGTGAAGTTCTGTTGTTGATGTCTTGGTCGATATATGATTCTGACCTGTCCTGTTACCACCCTGACATGGCTGCACTGGGAATTCTAGTTCAATGTCAATCCATCATCTTGCATAACGTTATCTGAATACTAGAATCAAATCTTCCTTAACGGTGAAACGGAGCTTCCCATAGGACCACGCGCTGAACATATCGATTGTACTGTTATCTTCTGTTTAAATTGACTCGGTAGAAGCATGTTCAGTAGAATTATTAAACATTTGTCCAGAACTACAATATTTTTGTCCGTAAAACATGCTTCAGATTTCGTTGTTTCTAACCTTGTCAATCATTTGTTTTCCGCAACAATTCACTAAAATGTTTAAATGCTAACAAACTTATTGTGTATTGTTTTGTGTCGATTTAGACTATCAGATCATGGGCAGACTGACCACCTACCTGTGTTTTGTTCTGTATGGGCAGACTGACCACCTACCTGTGTTTTGTTCTGTATGGGCAAACTGACCACCTACCTGTATTTTGTTGTGTTCTGTATGGGCAGACTGACCACCTACGTGTGTTTTGTTGTGTTCTGTATGGGCATACTGACCACCTACCTGTGTTTTGTTGTGTTCTGTATGGGCAGACTGACCACCTACCTGTGTTTTGTTGTGTTCTGTATGGGCAGACTGACCACCTACCTGTGTTTTGTTCTGTATGGGCAGACTGACCACCTACCTGTGTTTTGTTGTGTTCTGTATGGGCAGACTGACCACCTACCTGTGTTTTGTTCTGTATGGGCAGACTGACCACCTACCTGTGTTTTATTGTGTTCTGTATGGGCAGACTGACCACCTACCTGTGTTTGTTGTGTTCTGTATGGGCAGACTGACCACCTACCTGTGTTTTGTTGTGTTCTGTATGGGCAGACTGACCACCTACCTGTGTTTTGTTGTGTTCTGTATGGGCAGACTGACCACCTACGTGTGTTTTGTTCTGTATGGGCAGACTGACCACCTACCTGTGTTTTGTTGTGTTCTGTATGGGCAGACTGACCACCTACCTGTGTTTTGTTCTGTATGGGCAGACTGACCACCTACCTGTGTTTTGTTGTGTTCTGTATGGGCAGACTGACCACCTACCTGTGTTTTGTTGAGTTCTGTATGGGCAGACTGACCACCTACCTGTATTTTGTTGTGTTCTGTATGGGCAGACTGACCACCTACCTGTGTTTTGTTGTGTTCTGTATGGGCAGACTGACCACCTACCTGTGTTTTGTTGTGTTCTGTATGGGCAGACTGACCACCTACCTGTGTTTTGTTGTGTTCTGTATGGGCAGACTGACCACCTACCTGTGTTTTGTTCTGTATGGGCAGACTGACCACCTACGTGTGTTTTGTTCTGTCACCTACATTGTAATTATATATTGTTTTGTTATATCTGAGACTATAGATTAATGGGCGGTATGGTCACCTACATTGTAAATATGTGTTGTTTTATCTATTTGAGACTATAGATTAATGGGCGGTATGGTCACCTACATTGTAATTATGTATTGTTTTATCTATTTGAGACTATAGATTAATGGGCGGTATGGTCACCTACATTGTAATTATGTATTGTTTTGTTATATCTGAGACTATAGATTAATGGGCGGTATGGTCACCTACATTGTAATTATGTATTGTTTTGTTATATCTGAGACTATAGATTAATGGGCGGTATGGTCACCTACATTGTAATTATGTATTGTTTTGTTCTATCTGAGACTATAGATTAATGGGCGGTATGGTCACCTACATTGTAACTATGTATTGTTTTATCTGAGACTATAGATTAATGGGCGGTATGGTCACCTACATTGTAATTATGTATTGTTTTGTTATATCTGAGACTATAGATTAATGGGTGGTATGGTCACCTACATTGTAAATATGTGTTGTTTTATCTATCTGAGACTATAGATTAATGGGCGGTATGGTCACCTACATTGTAATTATGTATTGTTTTGTTATATCTGAGACTATAATTAATGGGCGGTATGGTCACCTACATTGTAATTATGTATTGTTTTCTTCCATCTGAGACTATAGATTAATGGGCGGTATGGTCACCTACATTGTAATTATGTATTGTTTTGTTTTATCTGAGACTATAGATTAATGGGCGGTATGGTCACCTACATTGTAAATATGTGTTGTTTTATCTATCTGAGACTATAGATTAATGGGCGGTATGGTCACCTACATTGTTATTATGTGTTGTTTTATCTATCTGAGACTATAGATTAATGGGCGGTATGGTCACCTACATTGTAATTATGTATTGTTTTGTTATATCTGAGACTATAGATTAATGGGCGGTATGGTCACCTACATTGTAATTATGTGTTGTTTTATCTATCTGAGACTATAGATTAATGGGCGGTATGGTCACCTACATTGTAATTATGTATTGTTTTGTTATATCTGAGACTATAGATTAATGGGCGGTATGGTCACCTACATTGTAATTATGTATTGTTTTATCTATCTGAGACTATAGATTAATGGGCGGTGTGGTCACCTACATTGTAATTATGTATTGTTTTGTTATATCTGAGACTATAGATTAATGGGCGGTGTGGTCACCTACATTGTAATTATGTATTGTTTTGTTCTATCTGAGACTATAGATTAATGGGCGGTATGGTCACCTACATTGTAATTATGTATTGTTTTATCTGAGACTATAGATTAATGGGCGGTATGGTCACCTACATTGTAATTATGTATTGTTTTGTTATATCTGAGACTATAGATTAATGGGCGGTATGGTCACCTACATTGTAATTATATATTGTTTTATCTATCTGATACTATAGAATAATGGGCGGTATGGTCACCTACATTGTAATTATGCATTGTTTTATCTGAGACTGTTAACTGGCAAGCTGGACGCCATCAAAAACGCTGCTCTATTTGTCGAAGGGCAATAACTCTTACTTAATATTTGACAAGCAGTTGTGGTTATGTTTTTTAGCCACGTGCACCTTTTCTTCAGTTAACTGACTAAAACTTTAGTTGTTTGCATATTCCATAAATCCTGAGTGAAGAGAATAGCGTATAAATTGTGCGATGATATACTTAGCAATGGTGTATTATATACGGAAATCCTTTGATAAGACAATTTATTTCAATTGCTCTAGTCTTGGCATACCTGTATTGTAGATTTGTTACTGTGTGTTGGCTTAGTAAACCACAGACAGGAGCTTTAAAAAAAATAAAATAAAAAGTAACTGTCTGGGATCTAGAAAATAATGATAATAAAATTGAAAATTTTATTAATTTGAACTTACATGTTTGGGTCTTCATATATGTCCGTTATTCTCTTCAATTCACGAGTTATTACAATTTATCCTTATTTACGATTAACATTTTCTCCACTTCAAGACATTATTTGGATTTCATTTTGCAAAATTGGGGTTCTATGGGTGTTGCCCAGCTACCTCATTGTCATCAAGTTTACTCGGACAAAGCTATATTTAAATGATCCGGAAGCATTTTTTAAAATTGTGTTTTGATGAAGTTCAATATTTCAGTGACGCTTATACTTAGAAAAAAATATTTGGAAATACGATTCATCAAACGTTCTCTTGTATAAGTTTACATGTGTATACATGTATTTTAACTTAAAAACTGGGGAATGTGGTTGCTCCAGGATGTGAAGACTGTTAAAGATAAAATAATGGAAAAGTTAAGATTACAGAGCATCTAACTTTCTTTCTAAAATCAATGACCGAACGTATGATACGTATCGTGTTACAGAGAAATATATATTTATTTATTTCTCAGTAATTTCTCATATTAGCCGGAAAAAACGTCGTTAGGTCCTTTACCGGTTTGTTATAATCTTGATCAGTGTCTTTGTGACGCTTTAAATCTGTAAACAACTCGTGGCCAACAATACGCCCTGGTATTTGTCACCGGCTTTTTATAGCTCTGCATAATTATACATCATACATATGTGTAGTTCGTATGTAAACGATTTTCAGAATTCATAAACGGCTTTCATGAAGCAAGTCTGTAAAAGCCTGCCAGGAAGTAGTAACATTGTGAACTCATCTTCCTGACAATTCATAGATTTGTCTGAGCTGCCCTGCGACTGTGTTGTGCATCAGGCATTACATTAAAGTCACCAGACTTGTATACCGCGAAGACATACTTCCTTGTCAACGTTGCTTTTACTCCGAAACGTCGGTGAGTATGAACTGAAATAGCATTCCTTATGGCAGAATGTAAGATATAAGCACGAAGATTTGTCTGTAAAATGCACAACCTCCAGCATACATAGTGACTACATTTTAGTGTATAACAAGGGGTTTGTGGTTATTTTTGTGAATTCTAGCCGCATTCATCATCAAAAGGTATAGGTTGAATCCTATACATTTTCTTTATATCTCACAAATTGATCCATTTAACTTTCATTTAATGTTTTTGTTACGTGTCAGCAAGGCGTGTGTCTATAAATTAAATGGAACCCAGCAAGGCATACCAGGTTCAGCAATGTGTTTCTACGAGTAGGATAATGTTCCATTTTGGCTATTGTGACTGATATAAAATGACCACAATCAGTAAAAATGTAAATATTGATAAAATCAGAATGATAATCTTGGTTGCCAGAAGAAAGTATTTGTTAATCAATGTTTCAGCTGAATTTCTGATTTGCTGTTTCAGGTAATTCTTTCTGTGTGTAGGTACAATGTCATCTCCATCATTTGAACAAACTACAGAACAGGTAAGCTAAAACCTTTTTTTAAAACTGAAATTATAATAATTTAATCCAAGCATTTTGTCCGCTTAAAAGTTAGTTTTGTCATTGCGTTGTAGCAACATCAAATTCTGGCACTGGTGATATCAGAAAGCAGCAATATAATTATTTCATATCAGTATTATCAAATGTATTTTTTTTCTTCCATTCAGTATCAGTGAATTAAGTATATTCTGTCGTTATTGAATATGCTTCAGATTTGTGAGAGCTGGTAGTGGCCTGAAGTTGTTCTCTGTCTGACATGCTTGTTTAGTGTGAAGTTGCACAAAATTTTGTGTCTTGATTTGTACTTGATAACTCCAGATCTTATTTAGTTTTGCTCCATTCTGTCATTGCTACCGTTGTGCATTATAAAGACAGGCAGAAAGTGGTTACGTAAAAATAGTGAAAGGCTGGGTGACATCTTTACCTTTTGAAGAAAATTCCAGTGGTAAAATGAAGCAGACTCAAAAATTTCTTTGTTGTTGTGAACTCCCTGTCCATCTTGAATGTGTTGTTCAAAAGTAAATCTCAGATAGGTGGTTAGAAACCTTTGGACTGATAACAAATTAGCACAACTGGAGTAAGAATTCCTTCTAGATAATATCACTTTCACTGCTAGTTATTATATACTAAAGATTACACCTGTCAGATGTAGTAAATCAGTTTGATCATTACCATTATATTAAGAAGACAGATTATGTGTAATGTTTTTGTTTTCTGATTGAATAGGTGTTGTTGGAACCATACAAGTACATATGTCAAATTCCGGGTAAAAAAGTAAGGAGTAAACTAGCAGAGGTCAGTTGTATGTCCTGATGGAGAAAATACAATCTTGTGTAAAAGATATGTTGGTTTAAAGTGCTAGAACTATAAAAATATAATGTTTTACTAACCAAAACAATAGACTATTGTCTGTCAGTAAAGGCTACTGGTATGTTTATAAGTACATACAAAGTCAATCTTTCTACAAACAATCTTTGAATCTGAACTGAGAAATTGACAGAATTAATTGCAGCAAATAGAAAGCACCATTCTCATTGTACATTGCTAAAACATGATATCTTCAATAGTGATGATTTGAAATTTCCTGGATTTGAAGAAATCTATTCAGTTTGCTATTTGGCAGTTTATAGAATTCCATGACATTCTCCAGAAAATTGAACTTGTAATTTGAAATGAATTATTATCTGTTTCTAGGCATTCAACCATTGGCTCAACATTCCACCAGAAAAAATAGCTGTGATAGGGGAAGCTACTCAGATGTTACACAATGCTAGTTTATTGTGAGTACATAATGTAATGGGGAGACTACTCAGGTGTTAAATAACACCAGATTATTGTGAGTACATAATAAGGGAGGCTACTCACATGTTAAATACCTCCAGATTATTGTGAGTATATAATGGGGGAGGCTACTCAAATGTTACCATCTCATCATATTCTGTAGAAGCAGCAAAAGTGCATGTTATATCTGTGTAACCAAATGTGTACATTGTATCTGATGACAGTCTTTTTTAATTTTCCAGAATTGATGATATTGAAGATAGTTCTAAACTAAGAAGAGGCATTCCAGGTAAATATCCCTGTTACCAGTTGGAAAGTACTGAATATTTAGTCAATGCGTCATGGTATTATTATTCCCATTTTAGACCTGTAGGATTTATTGACAAGGAGGATGTTATTTTTATTTCAGTTGCACACAGTATATATGGGGTTCCACATACCATCAACTCTGCCAACTATGTGTACTTTCTAGGACTGGAGAAGGTGTTAAGACTTGAGCACCCAGAGGCCACAAAGGTCTTTACAGGTAATATACAAAAATCTGCTGTGGTCTGATTTTCTGACAGCCTCCTGATTCTTGATTCACTGACAGAGCATTTGATAGTCCGTCATTCAGTCATTAGCCTTGGACAGTGTTTTAGCTCACCTAGCTCTTCTATCATCTCGTCAACTTTCACTATATCCTGCAACTACATTTTATGTATTTATGAATGACTGAGTGGATTATAATCAAATTTGGTCTGAAGCATCATTGGGGAAAGGGGAACCAGTTTTGTTTAAATGGTTAGTCTGGCCTCCCCCACTGAAGTCTTAGGGGCGAGGCCTAATAGGGAAAATCAATCAATTTCTTTATAATCTATATTGTTCTTTAGAAATTGTAGGATATTGTCCAAATTCGGTCTGAATTTGATGCTGTATCTGGGGTAAGGCTCATCAGGGGTAATATTTTCCTTCTAAAGAAATGTAAAATTTTGCATTATTGACTTGAATATCCAGGCGAGCGATACAGGCATTCTAGGCCTCATGTTGTTCATCTGTCATAGGGTTATTAGCCTTGGACAGTGTTTTTGTTGGACAGTGCTACTGTTTCAGTAGTTACAAACTTTTCCCCAATATTGTATAGTGTTACTATTTGTACTACACAGAACAGCTGCTAGAACTCCACCGAGGTCAAGGTATGGATATCTACTGGAGGGATGCTATTATCTGCCCTACAGAGGAGGAGTACAAAGCCATGGTCACTAAAAGTATGTCACATGTAAACTTTCTTTTTTGTACCTGAATAATAGATCCTTGGATCCTTTGGCAACATTTCCTAAAGATGTCATTACACAGGTGTTGTCTTTCTTGTATCACAATAATAAATCCTTGGATCCTTTGGCAACATTTCCTAAAGATGTCATTACACAGGTGTTGTCTTTCTTGTATCACAATAATAAATCCTTGGATCCTTTGGCAACATTTCCTAAAGATGTCATTACACAGGTGTTGTCTTTCTTGTATCACAATAATAAATCCTTGGATCCTTTGGCAACATTTCCTAAAGATGTCATTACACAGGTGTTGTCTTTCTTGTATCACAATAATAAATCCTTGGATCCTTTGGCAACATTTCCTGAAGATGTCATTACACAGGTGTTGTCTTTCTTGTATCACAATAATAAATCCTTGGGTCCTTTGGTAACAGTTCCTAAAGATGTCATTACACAGGTGTTGTCTTTCTTGTACCTCAATAATAAATCCTTGGATCCTTTGGTAACAATTCCTAAAGATGTCATTACACAGGTGTTGTCTTTCTTGTATCACAATAATAAATCCTTGGATCCTTTGGCAACATTTCCTAAAGATGTCATTACACAGGTGTTGTCTTTCTTGTATCACAATAATAAATCCTTGGATCCTTTGGCAACATTTCCTGAAGATGTCATTACACAGGTGTTGTCTTTCTTGTATCACAATAATAAATCCTTGGGTCCTTTGGTAACAGTTCCTAAAGATGTCATTACACAGGTGTTGTCTTTCTTGTACCTCAATAATAAATCCTTGGATCCTTTGGTAACAATTCCTAAAGATGTCATTACACAGGTGTTGTCTTTCTTGTACCTCAATAATAAATCCTTGGATCCTTTGGTAACAATTCCTAAAGATGTCATTACACAGGTGTTGTCTTTCTTGTATCACAATAATAAATCCTTGGATCCTTTGGCAACATTTCCTAAAGATGTCATTACACAGGTGTTGTCTTTCTTGTATCACAATAATAAATCCTTGGATCCTTTGGCAACATTTCCTGAAGATGTCATTACACAGGTGTTGTCTTTCTTGTATCACAATAATAAATCCTTGGGTCCTTTGGTAACAGTTCCTAAAGATGTCATTACACAGGTGTTGTCTTTCTTGTACCTCAATAATAAATCCTTGGATCCTTTGGTAACAATTCCTAAAGATGTCATTACACAGGTGTTGTCTTTCTTGTACCTCAATAATAAATCCTTGGATCCTTTGGTAACAATTCCTAAAGATGTCATTACACAGGTGTTGTCTTTCTTGTATCACAATAATAAATCCTTGGGTCCTTTGGTAACAGTTCCTAAAGATGTCATTACACAGGTGTTGTCTTTCTTGTACCTCAATAATAAATCCTTGGATCCTTTGGCAACATTTCCTAAAGATGTCATTACACAGGTGTTGTCTTTCTTGTACCTCAATAATAAATCCTTGGATCCTTTGGCAACATTTCCTAAAGATGTCATTACACAGGTGTTGTCTTTCTTGTACCTCAATAATAAATCCTTGGATCCTTTGGCAACATTTCCTAAAGATGTCATTACACAGGTGTTGTCTTTCTTGTACCTCAATAATAAATCCTTGGATCCTTTGGCAACATTTCCTAAAGATGTCATTACACAGGTGTTGTCTTTCTTGTACCTCAATAATAAATCCTTGGATCCTTTGGCAACATTTCCTAAAGATGTCATTACACAGGTGTTGTCTTTCTTGTACCTCAATAATAAATCCTTGGGTCCTTTGGTAACAATTCCTAAAGATGTTATTACACAGGTGTTGTCTGGTATAGCACACACTCATTCTTAACAGACCTACCATAAAATATACCTACAGTATAGACATAATAAGTAACAAAAGTAAATAGAGAAACTATAGAAGCATTTAACTGGACTGAAAAATCTGTTGTTGTATTTCAGAAACAGGTGGACTGTTTGGACTAGCTGTGCGACTGATGCAGTTGTTTAGTGATAACAAAAGGTGTGGCTTAAAAGTCTTAATAAAGCTTAGTATATGTTAGTAAGGGTTAGAAAGGGGGAAGGTTAGGAGGGATTAATAAAGCTTAGTATATGTTAGTAAGGCTTAGTAAGGGTTAGAAAGGGGGAAGGTTAGGAGGGATTAATAAAGCTTAGTATATGTTAGTAAGGCTTAGTAAGGGTTAGAAAGGGGAAGGTTAGGAGGGATTAATAAAGCTTAGTAAATGTTAGTAAGGCTTAGTAAGGGTTAGAAAGGGGGAAGGTTAGGAGGGATTAATAAAGCTTAGTAAATGTTAGAAAGGCTTAAGAACTAATGTTACTGTATAAAAAGACAAATTGTCGTGCTAATATTTTGCATGTGTTCTGCTTCAGGTGAGTTTGTTGTGGTTAGATTTCGTGCATACCTATTGTTGGTATTGGTGTATACAGACATATAGCACAGATTACTTTATATTTCGTTTGATGTCAAACCTTTGTTAAGTATTTAATTTTGTGTTATTTTTGATGACAGTGAAAGGAAAAAATAAACTCTCCTGCAAATATTATCAACTATACACTAGTTAAGCTTAGTAAATGTTAGTAAATATTAGTGTGACCTAGTAAGGCTTGGTAAGGGATAGTGAATGTTAGTAATGGTTATTGAGACCTAGTAAGGCTTGATAAGGGATAGTAAATGTTAGTAAATATTAGTGTGACCTAGTAAGGCTTGGCAAGGGTTAGTAAATGTTAGTAATGGTTAGTGAGACCTAGCAAGGCTTGGTAAGGGTTAGTAAATGTTAGTAATGGTTAGTGAGACCTAGTAAGGCTTGGTAAGAGTTAGTGAATGTTAGTAATGGTTAGTGAGACCTAGTTAGGCTTAGTAAGGGTAAGTAAATGTTAATAATGGTTAGTGAGACCTAGTAAGGCTTGGTAAGGGTTAGTGAATGTTAGTAATGGTTAGTGAGACCTAGTAAGGCTTGGTAAGGGTTAGTAATGGTTAGTGAGACCTAGTAAGGCTTAGTAAGGGTTAGTAAATATTAGTAATGGTTAGTGAGACCTAGTAAGGCTTAGTAAGGGTTTGTAAATGCTAGTAATGGTTAGTGAGACTTAGTAAGGCTTAGTAAGGGTTAGTAAATGTTAGTAATGGTTAGTAAGACCTAGTAAGGCTTAGTAAGGGTTTGTAAATGCTAGTAATGGTTAGTAAGACTTATTTTATGCTAGAAAATGTTAGTAAGTGTTAGTATGGGGTAGTGAAGGTTAGTATGGGGTAGTGAAGGTTAGTATGGGGTAGTGAAGGTTAGTATGGGGTAGTGAAGGTTAGTATGGGGTAGTGAAGGTTAGTATGGGGTAGTGAAGGTTAGTATGGGGTAGTGAAGGTTAGTATGGATGAGAAAGGATTAGAAAGGTTTCATTAGGCTTGGTCAGCAAGGGTTTGTAAGGGTAAGTAAAGGTTAATAAGTGATAATGAGGATAGGTAAGGGTTAACAAGTGCTCTGATATAGCGTTAGATTTAACATAACAAATGTAATGATAAGCAAATCATTTGATGATGTCCCTTGCCAAGATCAGGAACATACAGTGTTAACAATTTCCTTCCTGCTCATCAACTCTGTAAGCCATACAATGTGGAAGTTTTGCCTACAGTTGTACCTCTTTTTACAATCTAAGATTTTACCTGTATTTCAGTGATCTGAAGCCAGTACTAGATGTGTTGGGTCTTTATTTCCAAATCAGAGACGATTATGCCAACCTGATATCAAAAGAGGTAACATTGTCTTTATATCTCCTAAAACATCAGTAACGTTGTATTGTAATATCTAACACTTTATTCTATATCTCGTTTAACATCAGTAACGGTGTATTGTAATACCGAACACTTTATTCTATATCTCGTTAAACATCGGTAACGTTGTATTGTAATATCTAACACTTTATTCTATATCTCATAAAACATTTGTAACATTGTATTGAAATATCTATTGATGTTAACTCATATTTCAAACCAATTCTGTATTAACATTTAACCTGGAAGCTGTAGGATGTTGGGAAATGGCCTGTCTTCGGAGTTAAAGTCCCAAATTAGAATTTTTGAATAACTATATAAGGGTGTATTGAAGTAAATATCAGCTTCTATAAAGTATGATGATGAACTAGGTCAGTTTACAAAAACAGTTTCCCAGTACTTGTTCACGATTCATTTAAAACTTTTTCTAAGCAAAGTCATTCTTCAGCTTAATATATGTCCTGATTTCTTGGTGAAATATCTTATTTATCCTGGTATATTAAAAAGGAATTTTGAGGAAAGCTGTGCCTGTTTTGATTACAGTATGAAGCCAATAAGAGTTACTGCGAGGATCTAACGGAGGGCAAATTCTCATTTCCAATCATCCATGGCATCCGGACTAGTCCAGACAACAACCAAGTCCTTAGTATCCTTTACAGACCCATGGTGGCTATCCTCTAAATATACACCTGTCATTTCTGATCAGTTAAATGGGAATGTGACATTTTAAATGTCATTACAATAACAATATTTACACATCACGATATATCTTGGTAATAACTGACCATGTGTTCCTAATGTTACTTTTTCCACCGGTTTTAAGATTGAAACTTCACACTTCAGTGGACCAGGTGAGGAATTGTTTTTTCCTTGACATCTATAAGGTATACTACGACAGAGGACATCTGACAACGATGTGAAAAAATACTGTGTGGAGGTTCTAGAAAAACTCGGATCTTTTGATTACACGAAAAAAGTCTTAGAAGAGCTGGAAGAAAGGTACATAAAGTGTGTTAAGGTCTATACTTTTATCATTAGCCTTCAGCATGGTAGATACTAAATGAAGCCTATTTACTGTCTCCAGCCTCCAAAGTATTGTTCAGCATGGTAGATACTAAATGAAGCCTATTTACTGTCTCCAGCCTCCAAAGTATTGTTCAGCATGGTAGATGCTAAATGAAGCTTATTTACTGTCTCCAGCCCCCAAAGTATTGTTCAGTATGGTAGATACTAAATGAAGCCTATTTACTGTCTCCAGCCCCCAAAGTATTGTTCAGTATGGTAGATACTAAATGAAGCCTATTTACTGTCTCCAGCCCCCAAAGTATTGTTCAGTATGGTAGATACTAAATGAAGCCTATTTACTGTCTCCAGCCCCCAAAGTATTGTTCAGTATGGTAGATACTAAATGAAGTGTGTTACTGTCTCCAGCCCCCAAAGTATTGTTCAGCATGGTAGATGCTAAATGAAGCCTATTTACTGTCTCCAGCCCCCAAAGTATTGTTCAGTATGGTAGATACTAAATGAAGCCTATTTACTGTCTCCAGCCCCCAAAGTATTGTTCAGTATGGTAGATACTAAATGAAGCCTATTTACTGTCTCCAGCCCCCAAAGTATTGTTCAGTATGGTAGATACTAAATGAAGCCTATTTACTGTCTCCAGCCCCCAAAGTATTGTTCAGCATGGTAGATGCTAAATGAAGCTTATTTACTGTCTCCAGCCCCCAAAGTATGGTATACTTAGTTAAGGTCTCTTATCTACAACGAAATGTACCTTACATCTCTATTATTTTTGTATTTTCTCTGTATTTTATATGTTTGTGGCAGAACATATTCAAGTATTTCAGTAATTTTTATATGATAAACATTGGTTTTGATGTTTTAAAACTATGAATTAAATTTTGTTATAAGTAGCAGTGAGAGTCGATTTTAGTAAAATAATACTGATTTACTGGTATCATTCCAAGTGTTGTATTCAGGGCCTATAATCCTGTAACTTGTCTGTTTCAGACTGTTGGCTCTGATAGAGGATCAAGGTGGAAATCCCATTCTAGTTAGTCTTATAAATGAACTGAGGAAGGTTTACAGAAACGGACAATGACTGAAACCAAACATAGTGGACATGTGCAATCTCAGTGTATCTGAATGAATGTGATGTATGATGCCAAAAACACACTTTATCTACGATAGCAGGCTCCAGAATCAGGACACCAAGTATCATCCCAATCAAGACTGTTACTTAGATTTTTTCTGTGGTAGAATTTCATTCTTTCATCGTTAAATTTCTGACACAAAGAATCAAAGTTTCAAAGGGATCCTGACTGTGGACAAAGTCTGTGTCACTTTGTTAAATATTTTTTTAACAATTAAAATTGCCCATTTACTTCTGTGCTTAATAAACAACAAAATGAGTCAGGAACACTTGTTCTAATGAGTAAAGATAGAGTACTGTTCCACAAAATATACATTGCCATGTGTATAATCTGACCTGGAGTTATTTCCCTTGATAAGATTTTATTTCAATACTGATAGCAACATTGATAAAGTATTGTTACTAAAAAAATAAACATCATGGATATCTGCGATATTTCATGTATTTTTTTTTCAATTTCATTTGTTTACGAACAAAATTCTGTAAGATATATTGTTATTTATTATGATTATGGAGAGGGGTGTCACTGAAAGTCTGAGATCATTGCTACCATTATTGATCTATATCAGACAAATTGTGTCATAGAGGAACATGGTAAAACTGATGATGCACACTGTGATCCTGTTTGAGAATTCTCCACCAGACCATCTAGGCTCACTATGAGGTCAGCCAAGTACAGCATATGATTCCCAGGTGCCAAGTTATTTAAAATAAATATAATAAAGATTTAGGTAATTGTGACCTACTAATTAGTGTTTGACAATCTTTTCTATTTAATTTACAACAGGTTTTCATTCCAATAATGAATAAGCAAGAACTTCAACAATAACAAATTTTGTTTACCTACTTTATCACAAACTGGTTGCTGAAGGGCATAAATTGGCACCCCTCGTTTACTGCTGTTGAAAATAAACATTTCATAATATTGTGAATAATAATGATGTCCAAGTACAATATTGGCTAAAACGGATTCTTTGTGAATTAAATACTCATAGCCATTATTTATTGAATCATGTGAATATGAAATATGCTGTGTTGAATCAGGAGTGACAAGGTTATCGTACACTATTGTGAGTAGTGAGAAATAAGTTTTTATAATTATTGATCTCAGTGCTTTGTGAGAATGATCATTATGTTTTTATTCTTAAAAAATGAATTTGATCACCTGGTTTTGTTTAAGCACACATGTACATGACAAATACCGGATTAAGGACAATTTTGTAAGTCTTTTTGTAAGATACAGATGTAGGACAATATTGTAAATCTTTGTGTAAGATATAGATTCAGGACAATATTGTAAGTCTTTGTGTAAGATACAGACTTAGGACAATATTGTAAGTCTTTGTGAAAGATACAGACTTAGGACAATATTGTAAGTCTTCGTGTAAGATGCAGATTTAGGACAATATTGTAAGTCTTTGTGTAAGATACAGACTTAGGACAATAGTCTTTGTTGTAAGTCTTCGTGTGTAGGACAATATTGTAAGTAAGATACAGACTTAGGACAATATTGTAAGTCTTTGTGTAAGATACAGACTTAGGACAATATTGTAAGTCTTCGTGTAAGATGCAGATTTAGGACAATATTGTAAGTCTTTGTGTAAGATCTAGGTATTGGACTAACAGTATAGGAACATTAGACTTCAGTGACATAATGATAATGGAGACCATGTCACTGGTATAAACGGCAATAATACTTCAAAGCATTACAGCCTAATTCTGGTTACACAAAATTTCTTCCAGGTAAAACTTTTTGATCTCGCCAGGTATCATTCATCTGTCTTGTAAGGGGTTTGATGCTTAACACCAATTGCTGACCTTCCATCTTGGTTTTTTTTTATTACTGTGTTGGTATCTCTTGACAAATTATATACCAGGAGTTTTTACATGTGCAGTTATGCACAATTTTTACTATCAAACTTTAAGCCTCGTTTTACTCTGTCTACACAAAAACAAATAAAATCATGACATATTACTCGGAGAGTTTGATTCGTTTTTCAAGTGGTTTCAGTTTTATCACAGATGGTCTGTACACAGTCTTGTCAGTGTGTATAGAGGGAATGACTCAACTTGTAGCATTTTCTTGTGAGGTGAAAACTTTTTAATCAATGAATGTGTTTCAAAGTAACTTCAAATACCAATATCTCCAGCTATAAGGAATTGAGCAAAACAAAAAGAATTTGGTCTTTTTCTGCGTGAGATTATCAGAAACTTTTCATTAACATCTTTAATGAAGCTTATGTATGTATTGCTCAGGTGGATATTTAAGCTCATCTTGGACCCTGCCCTTCTGCTGTCCCGTAATTAAAAGAGTTCCCTTCACCCAAGGATAATTAAAATGAAAATGGTTAAAGAACTTCCATGGCTAGAGAACATGATGTATACCATAGATAATATCTATCTAACCTATTGCCCCATGCCCTTCAGTCCTCATGAAGGAGAGTTTCAGACTCACTGCTTATATAAAATGAAATCCTCTTCACTTATGGAGGCTTTAGACCAAATTTGAACAAAAGCATGTCTTTTCTAAGGAAGAAGGAATTTAAAAGTGATACCTCTAGTTCTCATATTGGGTTTTGCCTCACTTATCCTTGGGGTAAATTTTCCTTTGTGATCCTCACCCTCTGGGCTGATACACACTATACAAAATTTATTCTCCTTCCCAAAGAAATGCTCCTCACCAAATTTGGTCAAAATCTGCTCAGTCCTTTCTGACTAGAAATACAAATGAAGGAAGTGCTTTTACCAAGAAAATGACTTTTAAATAGGGCCACAATTACATGTGTATATTATTTTTCAGGTGAAATCTACCCTATCAAATGTCGACTATTAAGAAATAAAGAGCATTTCATTCTAGTATTCATGGAAATGAAGTAAAACACTCTAGTGCCTTAATTGATCTGACCTTGACCTTTGAGTCCTTAGCTGTGGATCAGTCAAGGTCAAAATGTGCACACCTTCAAAATGTCATCCTATACTGATATTTCATCAAAATTTGAAATCAAACAAAATATACTCAAAAGTATCATTTCCTTATATAAACAATACTTAATCCCCTCCCAAGGGGAAACACGATCACGGTCCAGAAATTCACAAGTTTGGTAAAACATGACAAGTCTGTTCAATCTTTACAGAGTACCTTTCTTACCATATCTTGGTCTTGAGAAGATTTCTCCCATCTAAATATTCATTTATGGCCGTGCTCATTAGGCTCCTGAGGAGTTGAAACTACGCTTCACAATTTTGGTTCAACTTTGGCCATGAGAGTTTATCGTAAAATTAAAAAAAATTTTTTTGGGAGTTTCTGAGAAAAAAGTTGAAAATGGCACTTCTTAAAGGATGTACAGTGGATGACTCAGACTAAAAGTGAGCACCATGTGTCACTTAGCACTTGTCAAGTGACCTGAAATATCTCCTTTAGGGGATTCATCATGTATGTGTCGTGTTCCGTTGGTGTTACTCATGATACAGAGTCACCAGAAATACTCAGATAAGGAACAAAACACCCTTGACTTTACACATTTATTCATGATTTTTGTAGACATTTCAAATACACATAGAATTACGGCAGATTCTGTCTCTAGATAAAATTTTCACACTAGTAAACACTTTCTCCAGTTCCACCTTTCACACATACCACTACACTAATGTCTAAAGGGGGTAAAATTCCACAGGGGAAGCTCGAGATTACTTCACTTGGTTATTATTCATGTAAATCAGGAAAGGAAAGTCATATTAAAAACAAGGAAACAATATTGTAAGGAATCCCAAGCACCTATACTTGAACACAATCTGGTATAAAGTTTGTTCTACTAAGTGACCATTGATGGGTCTACACTGTGGCTTGTCATGTGTTTTGCCTGACTGCTTGGTGGGTGAGGCTTATCCACTGGTTGATACTATGGTAAGTTCTGTGTGGCTTGTCCTATGTTTTGTCTGACTGCTTGGTGGGTGAGGCTTATCCAGTGGTTGATACTATGGTAAGTTCTGTGTGGCTTGTCCTACGTTTGCCTGACTGCTTGGGTGGTGTGTACTGTCCAGAGCTGACTCTGGACTTGTCCAGTGGTATGTCTTATTGATGGGTCAGGGTGATTGTCAAACTGTTTGGTTAGTGCGGTTGTCAAACTGTTTGGGCAGTATGGTGTCCAGTGTTGAGTCAGTAGGACTTGTCCAGTGGTTGGATTATCAATGTATTTTGTCATGTTGGGATTCATGTCGCATAATTCATTAGCATTATTATTTCCTTGTAAAATCCCTCCTCTTCATTCATTCCTTGATATTCTTCAAAACTCTGGGAGTTTGCCTTCATTTTCCACATGGTACAGAATGTCAGCTAGAGCATATTCTACCATGGTCTGTGAGGCTGCTTCTGACATCTGAAACATTCATCATTACTGCCAGGATGTTTTGTCATAATGAAATTAGAACATTCACATTTCAAAGGGCATCAAAGATTGTCAGTTCCTTTAATATTTTCATGTGCTTCCACAAAAATTTACGAAATCATTCCAAATTGGCCAGACATTTTGTTAATTCTGTAACTATTCTGTATCAATAGCTTCCATACTGTAAATATTGATAGACTTTACAATAAATCCTTGTTATAAATACTTACTGGCTTGAAACCCTTTAAACCTTGTGGTCCAAACTTAAAATCAGGTCCAAAGTTCACAGTTACCTAGAAAACCATTAAGAAAGTTGCTTACGACAAATCTATACAAGAGATCCCAGAGAGAACTTGGTGCCCACCATTGTTTGATCTATACAAGAGATCCCAGAGAGAACTTGGTGCCCACCATTGTTTGATCTATACAAGAGATCCCAGAGAGAACTTGGTGCCCACCATTGTTTGATCTATGCCCACCATTGTTTGATCTATACAAGAGATCCCAGAGAGAACTTGGTGCCCACCATTGTTTGATCTATACAAGAGATCCCAGAGAGAACTTGGTGCCCACCATTGTTTGATCTATACAAGAGATCCCAGAGAGAACTTGGTGCCCACCATTGTTTGATCTATACAAGAGATCCCAGAGAGAACTTCTATACAAGAGATCCCAGAGAGAACTTGGTGCCCACCATTGTTTGATCTATACAAGAGATCCCAGAGAGAACTTGGTGCCCACCATTGTTTGATCTATATAAGAGATCCCAGAGAGAACTTGGTGCCCACCATTGTTTGATCTATACAAGAGATCCCAGAGAGAACTTGGTGCCCACCATTGTTTGATCTATACAAGAGATCCCAGAGAGAACTTGGTGCCCACCATTGTTTGATCTATACAAGAGATCCCAGAGAGAACTTGGTGCCCACCATTGTTTGATCTATACAAGAGATCCCAGAGAGAACTTGGTGCCCACCATTGTTTGATCTATACAAGAGATCCCAGAGAGAACTTGGTGCCCACCATTGTTTGATCTATACAAGAGATCCCAGAGAGAACTTGGTGCCCACCATTGTTTGATCTATATAAGAGATCCCAGAGAGAACTTGGTGCCCACCATTGTTTGATCTATATAAGATCCCAGAGAGAACTTGGTGCCCACCAGAGAGAATTGTTTGATCTATATAAGAGATCCACCATTGTTTGATCTATATAAGAGAGAACTTGGTGCCCACCATTGTTTGATCTATATAAGAGATCCCAGAGAGAACTTGGTGCCCACCATTGTTTGATCTATATAAGAGATCCCAGAGAGAACTTGGTGCCCACCATTGTTTGATCTATATAAGAGATCCCAGAGAGAACTTGGTGCCCACCATTGTTTGATCTATATAAGAGATCCAGAGAGAACTTGGTGCCCACCATTGTTTGATCAGAGAGATCCCAGAGAGAACTTGGTGCCCACCATTGTTTGATCTATATAAGAGATCCCAGAGAGAAGAGAGAACTTGGTGCCCACCATTGTTTGATCTATCATTGTTTATACAAGAGATCCCAGAGAGAACTTGGTGCCCACCATTGTTTGATCTATACAAGAGATCCCAGAGAGAACTTGAATGCCCACCATTGTTTGATCAAGAGATCCCAGAGAGAACAGAGAGAACTTGGTGCCCACCATTGTTTGATCTATATAAGAGATCCCAGAGAGAACTTGGTGCCCACCATTGTTAGATCTATATTTGGTCTTTATGAGATTGATCTTTTCTCTTTTTTTGTTTTTCTCATCATAATATGAAATTTGAAAATTGCTCTTGATAAATAGTGATGATAATCATTAAAAATCAAATCCAAAACCAGGGATAAAGATGAACTTACATAGAAATCTAGGATTATCTTTTAAGTATTTCTCCATCAGTGAACGTGAAAAGTATTTTAAATACTGATAATTTAATGGGGGTGCAGGAGGTTTCTCAGAATCCGAAGCAGATAATTTTTCATGATAACATGATATGTATAGCCCTAAAAATTACCAAAATAAAGCTGTTTGACGTTTTACTTTCTTTATCACAGCAGCTCAATATCTGATAAATCCAAATATGAGTCTGGCTGTAGTACTCACCTTAGCATTTTTATATAGAGATATACAGGGGTAATACCAGCCCTCAAACACATCCTCAAAAGCGATCCCCTGTGACACACCATTCTTGTACATAATCATCTACAAACCAAATGTAAATCTCAATGACAACTTGAAATACAATACAACATCTACCAGTACAAACATACACAGGTATAACCTTGTACACTCACAAATGTCTCCTACTTTAATGTATTATTACTGTACAAAGTAAAATTGAAAAGTGAAGGCAGTGTGTGTTGAAAACATCTCTTTATTATTTGTTTTTGATCTGGAGGCCTGGAGGGGCATGACAATAAATATTTACTTTTTAGATATATTCTGTGCAATCTATGAATCTCGATTGACAGAATAATCCTAAACACCATACTCTCCTGTCTGTTATATTGCTTAAGTTATATTGAATCAAATGAACATTAAGTTGATTTAATACACATACATTTTTGATAACTCATAAACAGATTAACTGTCCTACAGTATAATTTGCTGCCTGTTATAGTGGCATCTGTATGTGTGTCTACACACACTGCTTTATAGTCAACAATTCTACAGATCATGACTCACAATAACCTTACAGGGATAAGGCCGTTTCTACCTGCTACTTCTATCAATATCAGAAACCTGATAGACCCAGATCTTTTTGACTGCTCCCCTCTTTGACATCCATCATAATTATATTTCAAGACTGTCTATAGGATGCCTGACCAGATATCCCTGTATCACTATGGTAACTAACCTGATATCTCTGTATCACTATAGTAACTAACCTGATATCTCTGTATCACTATGGTAACTAACCTGATATCTCTGTATCACTGTGATAACTAACCTGATATCCCTGTATCACTGTGATAACTGACCCGATATCCCTGTATCACTGTGATAACTAACCTGATATCCCTGTATCTCTGTGATAACTAACCTGATATCCCTGTATCTCTGTGATAAGTAACCTGATATCCCTGTATCTCTGTGATAACTAACCTGATATCACTGTATCTCTGTGATAACTGACCAGATATCCCTGTATCACTGTGATAACTGACCAGATATCCCTGTATCTCTGTGATAAATAACCTGATATCACTGTATCTCTGTGATAACTAACCTGATATCACTGTATCTCTGTGATAACTGACCAGATATCCCTGTATCACTGTGATAACTGACCAGATATCCCTGTATCTCTGTGATAAGTAACCTGATATCCCTGTATCTCTGTGATAAGTAACCTGATATCCCTGTATCTCTGTGATAAGTAACCTGATATCCCTGTATCACTGTGATAAATAACCTGATATCTCTGTATCTCTGTGATAAGTAACCTGATATCCCTGTATCACTATGATAACTGACCCGATATCCCTGTATCACTGTGATAACTAACCTGATATCCCTGTATCTCTGTGATAACTAACCTGATATCCCTGTATCTCTGTGATAACTAATCTGATATCTCTGTATCTCTGTGATAAGTAACCTAATATCCCTGTATCTCTGTGATAACTAACCTGATATCACTGTATCTCTGTGATAACTAACCTGATATCTCTGTGATAACTAACCTGATATCCCTGTATCACTGTGATAACTAACCTGATATCCCTGTATCTCTGTGATAACTAACCTGATATCTCTGTGATAACTAATATGATATCCCTGTATCACTGTGATAACTAACCTGATATCCCTGTATCACTGTGATAACTAACCTGATATCCCTGTATCTCTGTGATAACTAATCTGATATCTCTGTATCTCTGTGATAAGTAACCCGATATCCCTGTATCACTGTGATAACTAACCTGATATCCCTGTATCACTATGATAACTAACCTGATATCCCTGTATCACTGTGATAACTAACCTGATATCCCTGTATCTCTGTGATAACTAACCTGATATCTCTGTGATAACTAATATGATATCCCTGTATCACTGTGATAACTAACCTGATATCCCTGTATCACTGTGATAACTAACCTGATATCTGTACTGTGATAACTAATCTGATATCCCTGTATCACTGTGATAACTGACCCGATATCCCTGTATCACTGTGATAAATATCCCTGTATCACTGTGATAACTAACCTGATATCCCTGTATCTCTGTGATAACTAACCTGATATCCCTGTATCTCTGTGATAACTAATCTGATATCCCTGTATCACTGTGATAACTGACCCGATATCCCTGTATCTCTGTGATAACTAACCTGATATCCTGTATCTCTGTGATAAGTTACCTGATATCCCTGTATCACTGTGATAACTAATCTGATATCCCTGTATCTCTGTGATAACTAACCTGATATCCCTGTATCACTGTGATAACTAACCTGATATCCCTGTATCACTGTGATAACTAACCTGATATCTCTGTATCACTATGATAACTAACCTGATATCCCTGTATCTCTGTGTTAACTAACCTGATATCCCTGTATCACTGTGATAACTGACCCGATATCCCTGTATCACTGTGATAACTAACCTGATATCCCTGTATCACTGTGATAACTAACCTGATATCCCTGTATCTCTGTGATAACTAACCTGATATCCCTGTATCTCTGTGATAACTAACCTGATATCCCTGTATCACTGTGATAACTAACCTGATATCCCTGTATCACTGTGATAACTAATCTGATATCACTGTATCTCTGTGATAACTAACCTGATATCCCTGTATCTCTGTGATAACTAACCTGATATCCCTGTATCTCTGTGATAACTAACCTGATATCCCTGTATCACTGTGATAACTAACCAGATATCCCTGTATCACTATGTTAACTAATTATGGTTTAAGATTCCCTATCATGTATTCCACTATTTACCTGATATCCCCTTTGTAGTTTCCACGATCTATCTTACCTCCCCTTGTAGGTGTAAAATTTCTCATACCTCCCCCTGTAGGTTTAAAATTCCTCATAAGTATTCTAGTACCTATCTTACCTCCCCTTGTAGGTTTAAAATCCCCATAAGTATTCCATGATCTATCTTACCTCCCCTTTGTAGGTTTAAAACACCCCATAAGTATTCCACTACCTATCTTACCTCCCCTTGTAGGTGTAAAATCCTTTGTAAGTATTCTACTACCTATCTTACCTCCCCTTGTAGGTGTTAAATTCCTCGTAAGTATTCCACGATCTATCTCACCCCCCCTTGTAGGTGTTAAATTCCCCATAAGTATTCCACTACCTATCTTACCTCCCCTTGTAGGTGTAAAAATCCTTCGTAAGTATTCTACTACCTATCTTACCTCCCCTTGAAGGTGTAAAATTCCTCGTAAGTATTCTAGTACCTATCTTACCTCCCCCTGTAGGTTTAAAATTCCTCATAAGTATTCCACGATCTATCTTACCTCCCCGTGTAGGTGTAAAATACCTTGTAAGTATTCCACTACCTATCTTACCTCCCCTTGTAGGTTTAAAATTCCCCGTAAGTATTCCACTACCTATCTTACCTCCCCTTGTAGGTTTAAAATTCCCCATAAATATTCCACTACCTATCTTACCTCCCCTTGTAGGTGTAAAATTCCTTGTAAGTATTCTACTACCTATCTTACCTCCCCTTGTAGGTTTAAAATTCCTCATGAGTATTCCACTACCTACCTGACTTCCCCTTATAGGTTTTAGATTCTTCTCTGTCTCTGTTACATAATCCTTTTCCTCATAGTACAGATGGCTCTTAAACTTCACCAAAGGCTGCAAAATAAAAATATTAATGATTTTCACAGATGCACCATGATTCAAAACATTACAATGTGTAATGATTTTTTCACGCTGTAATTACATGCTAGTCAGCTGGCAAGGAAGCAAACCAAAGTGATTCAATCTTCAAATAACTGTCTTTCGTATGAGTGCATGTGAATATTGCCATTCTTAAACAGTTACATCAATGTAACAGTCAATTCTGATTAACTTACTTCATTCATAAAGACAACTTTTTTGGGGGTTTTTCCTTCATAAAATGAAACAAGTAATAACAACAAAAAATAGCTTTCTTATTCTACATTTTTATTTTCATATCAATGTTATAATCTTGGTTTTCTTCAGTGACCACAGCCAATGAAGTCAGTAGAGAGTCTGTATAGCTATTAACTGACCAGCTACTCCCCAGACACACAACTCCAGGCCACACAGAAGTGAAACCATGTTTCAGTAATGTAAATTGTGATTCTTATCTTGCCTTCAGCACCCAGATTTGTTGTAAATATTTGTCTTCAATAGTTGATCTGCTTTGATTCGTAGCATCCAATGCCAACATATATACATATACAACTGTAGGATGCAGTAATTGTCATCTGACCCGCTAACCTCATCAGTGGAATCCAAATGTTAAGGTCTCTAGAATGTCTTGTAAAAACTGAAAACTAGCCTGAAGTCATTATCTCCATTAAAGTGGGTTTGAACTATCCCTCCTAACATAACTGGGGTGAACAATCCCTCCCAACATAAGTGGTATGAACTATCCCTCCCTACATAAGTGGTATGAACTATCCCTCCCAACATAAGTGGTATGAACTATCCCTCCCTACATAAGTGGTATGAACTATCCCTCCCAACATAAGTGGTATGAACTATCCCTCCCAACATAAGTGGTATGAACAATCCCTCCCAACATAAGTGGTATGAACAATCCCTCCCAACATAAGTGGTATGAACAATCCCTCCCAACATAAGTGGTATGAACTATCCCTCCCTACATAAGTGGTATGAACAATCCCTCCCTACATAAGTGGTATGAACTATCCCTCCCAAAATAAATGGTTCACACTAATTACACGGGGAGAGATATAGTTCACACTAATTACATAGGGACAGATATAGTTCACACTAATTACATGGGGAGAGATATAGTTCACACTAATTACATGGGGAGAGATATAGTTCACACTAATTACATGGGGAGAGATATAGCTCACACTAATTACATAGGGACAGATATAGTTCACACTAATTACATAGGGACAGATATAGTTCACACTAATTACATGGGGAGAGATATAGTTCACACTAATTACATGGGGAGAGATATAGTTCACACTAATGACACGGGGAGAGATATAGCTCACACTAATTACATAGGGACAGATATAGTTCACACTAATTACATGGGGAGAGATATAGTTCACACTAATTACATGGGGAGAGATATAGTTCACACTAATTACATGGGGAGAGATATAGTTCACACTAATGACATGGGGAGAGATATAGTTCACACTAATGACACGGGGAGAGATATAGCTCACACTAATGACACGGGGAGAGATATAGCTCACACTAATTACATAGGGACAGATATAGTTCACACTAATTACATGGGGAGAGATATAGTTCACACTAATGACACAGGGAGAGATATAGTTCACACTAATTACATGGGGAGAGATATAATTCACACTAATTACATGGGGAGAGATATAGTTCACACTAATTACATGGGGAGAGATATAGTTCACACTAATTACATGGGGAGAGATATAGTTCACACTAATTACATAGGGACAGATATAGTTCACACTAATTACATGGGGAGAGATATAGTTCACACTAATTACATGGGAAGAGATATAGTTCACACTAATTACATGGGGAGAGATATAGTTCACACTAATTACATGGGGAGAGATATAGTTCACACTAATTACACGGGGAGAGATATAGTTCACACTACTTACATGGGGAGAGATATAGTTCACACTAATTACATGGGGAGAGATATAGTTCACACTACTTTTTTACTTAAATATATTCACCACGTTAACAGTATACAATTTACCTTTCTCCATATAAGTAGTGTAAACTATATGTTTCCCCTGGTAAGTGGTGTAAACTATATTCCTTACCATGTAAGTGGTGAGAATATCCCTCCCTATATGTTACCAGAGTGAGCCTTCCCCAAAGAGTATAACACTCCCTATATGTTACCAGAGTGAGCCTTCCCCGCAGAGTATAACAGAGTAGGTACTTGACCCTAAACCAGGGGAATGGTAGGAACCACACTTCCCACACTAGAATACAGAGCTGGCAGCCAAGGTGAGTAACATCTCTAACCATGCCTTAGTTGTCAATATTGTAACAGTTCATTTACGTAATAAGGGACCTGTAAAATTCAGAAAATTATAGAGTTTGATATCAAAGGCTTGTAAACTTTTTAACATATGAGATGTATTATATCTACAGTGTTTCTTTTAAAGAATTATATGATTGAAAATATTATATATTATGCACAAACATTCCAAAACTTATCTTAATTCTATATAACTTAAAAAACATGTACATATATGAAAGAACTCTATATATGCATTGTCTGTGCCTTTTGTTAATCTGCGATGACAGTCACTCAAGCTAACAATACTTTTAATTTTTAGGCCTTACTGTGATACAGCTAGTGCAGGAAACTTGCAGTCAGATATAAATTCAAAGATATCATATAAGAATATTGTAGACATAATTTCCCTGTTATACAGGGTTGTTATCAATGCTACAGAATCTGTACCCCCCTTCCCAACCGTTACCAGGAAAACCTAGACAAAATAGGTTTCCATGACAACACTAAATCCTAATGCATCATATCTTCCTCCAGTTACCATTTGACTTTTACAGAAAGTAAAAAGTAATGGCTGGTAATTGTTGGGTTGGTGCTTCTCCTGACTATTATAGCCTGTTTTCTGGCCTCCTTTGAGTGAAGAGGTACACTTCTTTGTGAAATCTGGTGCTGTATGTCAGTGTATTAATATTCTTTTAGAAACTGAGAACATATTCCCGATTTATCCTGAATTGTCTAAGCTCGGAGAAACAATATTTTGTTCCGACTGAAAAAAACGGCAAAACATACTGTGTTGGTAAAGAATGTTTAATACCTTTCTCCTTGATTTGGATTAGGACGATGAATAGATGTGTTAAGGAAATGACAGCAGTAATCTTCATATTGAAGTGATTTTCTGCTTGTCCTACAGAGACAGCTATACAGGGGATATTGTGTAACATTGAACTTTTCACAATACTATGCTCTGTGACCTCAATATCTACTGATGTTGTAAAATACAGTTAGTGTCACATTAAAGAAACATTAGAGTAAAGTAATTGTCCAGATGTTTTAAAATGTCACTAAGGGGGAGCTGAGCGACAACATACACAGCTGGGGTATGATAAGGGTGAGTGAGAGCAGCCATCAGATAAGACTATCACCCCAGATACAGCCCTGCTAACATCCCTACATCCCTTCAGGCTGGTACTTTCTAATGGGAGTTGCCCTTATCAGTCAGCATCCTTCCAATGTAGGCTTGTATACATTTAAACTTAGTTAAGACTACAAAAAAATGGACTGTCTGGTTGGTACTTTCTGGTAGGTAGGTCTTACAATGGACTCTTGTAGGTAAGTCTAACAATAGACAGACTGGTAGGTAGGGCTTGGTCATACGACTTTCTGAAATCCTGTGTTATTGTGTCTGGTGAGTAGGGACTGTCTGGTAGGTAGAGAATTTCTGGTGATAGGTTTTTAATGGAACAGTCTGTTAAGAAAGGGCGGTCTGATAGGTAGGTCTTCTCAATAAACAGTCTAATAAGAAGGTTTTACAATGGACTGTCTGGTAGGTAGACCTTACAATGGACTGTCTGGTAGGTAGACCTTACAATGGACTGTCTGGTAGGTAGGTCTTACAATGGACTGTCTGGTAGGTAGGTCTTACAATGGACTGTCTGGTAGGTAGGTCTTACAATGGACTGTCTGGTAGGTAGACCTTACAATGGACTGTCTGGTAGGTAGACCTCACCATGGACTGTCTGGTAGGTAAGTCTTACAATGGACTGTCTGGTAGGTAGGTCTTACAATGGACTGTCTGGTAGGTAGACCTTACAATGGACTGTCTGGTAGGTAGACCTCACAATGGACTATCTGGTAGGTAGGTTTTACAATGGACTGTCTGTTAGGTAGACCTTACAATGGACTGTCTGGTAGGTAGAACTGTCTGGTAGGTAGACCTTACAATGGACTGTCTGGTAGGTAGACCTTACAATGGACTATCTGGTAGGTAGACCTTACAATGGACTGTCTGGTAGGTAGGTTTTACATTGGACTGTCTGGTAGGTAGACCTTACAATGGACTGTCTGGTAGGAAGGTTTTATGATGGACTGTCTGGTAGGTAGACCTTACAATGGACTGTCTGGTAGGTAGACCTTACGATGGACTGTCTGGTAGGTAGACCTCACAATGGACTATCTGTTAGGTAGGTTTTACAATGGACTGTCTGTTAGGTAGACCTTACAATGGACTGTCTGGTAGGTAGACCTTACAATGGACTATCTGGTAGGTAGGTTATACAATGGACTGTCTGGTAGGTAGGTTTTACATTGGACTGTCTGGTAGGTAGACCTTACCATGGACTGTCTGGTAGGAAGGTTTTATGATGGACTGTCTGTTAGGTAGACCTTACAATGGACTGTCTGGTGGGTAGGTTTTACGATAGACTGTCTGGTAGGTACGCCTTACAATGGACTGTCTGGTAGGTAGGTTTTACAATGGACTGTCTGGTAGGTTTTACGATGGACTGTCTGGTAGGTAGGTTTAACGATGGACTGTCTGGTAGGTAGGCCTAGGTCTTACAATTTTCTGAAACCACACCTAGTGTTGCTGTGTCTGAGTTGTAGAACAGTGAGCACTTGTGATGAACAGTAAAATCAGAAGATACTATGTTTC